CTGCTTGATAATATAAGTGGCAATTAAGAAGGTAAGCATAAATGCATATCGGTATATATGATGCCAATGATTGATTGATGTAATCAGTTGCATACTACTCACATTCGCCACTAGTGGTTGCTCGCCAGATCGGAGTGATCTAAACACCATATGGCTGTCTAAGCTATGTCAGACCGGGTACACAGCTGATCAGCGCGAGCCGAAACAAGTGAAACAATCATACACTCTTGAGAGAAGAGGAAAAATACTTCTAGATACATAATTGATAAGAATGCTAAATAGTTAGTATACTAATGTTAAACTCAGTTAATTTTATATACTGGGCCATATTCCTTAACCGATTAGGTGGTGAATGTCAACGTTTTAATAGTTTTTGTCCAAATAGCTATAAACGAGCACTAGTCAAGACTCTATACTACAGAGCTCGGAGAATATCGTCTACAGAGAAGTTAGACGAGGAATTTCTGATTCTTGAAAAGATGTTGAAAAAGAACGGTTACCATCAAAGGTTCATTAACAAGTACGGAAGATCTGAAGGCTTAGATGTCAAACAAATCACAGAGGGAAAAAAGCTTGTCTTCTTTCAACTTGATTTTAAAGGTGAAAATATTACAGCAATCGTCAACAGAAGATTGAGGACGTCACTAGCCAGAGCCTGTCCTGCAGTTAAGCTCGTCCCCGTCTATCGAACAACTTGCTCTTTGATGCAATCAAAAATAGATATCCTTCTCATGTTATCTCCAACTGTGTATACAAATTTACATGTATCTGTGGGAGCAGTTACACTGGAAGAATAGAAAGAAGGGCATACCTCCGATTTTCTGAACATATACCAAATACTCTATGTCTAAAGGAAACAAATGCTTTGAACAATGCCATCGGCAGGCATCTCCTTGACACAAGTCATGAGGTGGACGTCGCAAGACCGTTCGAAATTATCAATAGGCAAAAGAGTTTAATTCTCCTTAAGTTTGTCTAAGCAATCTCCATCAAGCTCCTGAAACTCAATTTATGCGTTCAGAAAGAAGCGGTTATCAGTCTTTCCTTGCCCTGGCAACTGGATGTTTTCATCCTCTCTTTCATCTGGTTATGTAACGCCGAAAGTTTCCTTTGTGTATGATTATTATTGTTTGGGATAAAGCGTTTATTATTATTGGCATTGCATGCATATATTGACTGATTGATTTTTGTTAAAAAAATGTATGTTAAAAATTGTTTCTGCAGGTAAACTTATTAGTGTCTTTGGGCGGTAAGCAGACGACGAGAAGCGAACGAAATAAGTGATGGTGCCATTTTATTTTGCAAAAATTGTTGTTCTTACTTTTTATTCAAATATGAATTAGTCATTGATTCTTGGCCTTAATCTTGTATATATTTTTTTATATTTTTTACTTCACGTCCCCCATTGGAACATAGGGCTTCAGGCTAGTGGCTTGAAGTTTCTGTAGCAGTGTTTATTTTACAGGATGGGGTTGCTAGCCTCATGCCCAACCTTTCATCTTCACCAGCATTATTTCTGGCTTAGAGAGGCAAAAGAGTGCGTTGGCCGGGGATCGAACCCCGGACCATGTGCATGGTCGGCGAGCGTCCTAACCGCCATGCCACAGAAGCCAATATATTTAAACTACAATGGAACACTGTTTGATAAGTTTCATTGATGTGGTACAACGTCACTGACAAGACAGCAAGTATGTTAACTGATTACTACCTTCCAAGTCTCAAGCACTTTCATTCATCTTCACTAAGTTAATTTGCTTTGTTTGATATTTTTGATATAACTCTATACGTGTTCACTTCTACCTTATAACACATCTCAGCAAATTGAATCTGACAGACCATTCACTACGCTAGACACAATTGGGGGTGGTCAAATCAAAAGATGTCATCAACAAATGAAGTCTATGGCAGTCACATAGGCAGATGTAAACTGCATGTTTGGGGTTATAGGGATACTGAGAACTAACTAACCAGTGAGTGGAGACCGATAGTGATATGACTCAGAGTAGTCGTCACTGGCGCAGATAAATTCACTCTTCATGTTCTCTTATATCCATTATACCCTCATGGTTTTCCCTTTTTACTTTTCTTTCTACCATAAATTTCCGCTTATTATAATTCTTTTGAACCTCTTTTCTCTACCATTTGTGCCCTGTATGGAGTGCGGGGACTTGAGCTGCTGCACTCCTGTGCAAATTTCTATGGTGAAAGTCAGTGAGTCAGTCTGTCATACATAAATTAATAGCATATGCTATTAGATTTCACCTGTTTAACTTGTAAAAACCGTTAATAATATAATTATTACGAGTGAGCACAATTCCATATATATATATATATATATATATATTAGTGACAAGGTGCCACCAGAGTTCATACACGTATTCTTAAAATAACATCAATATCGAAAATGAAAAGGTTATTTTTTATACGAAAAGTCAACTCAGTTATTTAAAGTATTGAGTAGTATTCAAATAATAATAATAATAATAATAATAATAATAGTAGTAGTAGTAGTAGTAGTAGTAGATATTTAAGTAGTAAATAGGGTTATTCGCTTTAATAATACAATCACAACTTATATACTATTATAATATAACAATGTAGAATAATCTGTCCCAGTTTTACTACAAATGATATTTAGTACTTCTTTTTACTCCACGGAAGAATGATCTGACCTCAAGCCTAATCAATTCAACTAATCGATAATAAGAAGGATGAAAAATAGTTGAAACAACAACAACAACAGCCACAGTTATATTTACCTATAGGATATTTATATCAAATTGTCTACTGAGAAGACAGGAAGTAGAACAGACACATATACCAATATATATATATATATATATATATCACCGTTTAATGTAGAAATCCAATATCCATGATCCCAGATCGATTAGAATGATTTTTCTGTTCATACTATTTATTAGTTAGAATCTCAGATACGGACAACCAGCCTCTTCACACATAAATATATACCCGACGGTTAAGATATCCCTTAGAGGATAAATGTTCTTTCTTAATCGTAGAATTCTGAAACATACCATAGTCATAAACTAACTGATCGTTTGTAGTTTTCAGTTGTTTCAATCAAAGTGAAATCGCCTTTCTAAATGAAGCTTTGTTGTTACCATTCCCTGAGTACAGTATCAACTATTGGGTTCCAAATCAAGTGCTTTCATGAGGAGTGAACACTGTCTAGGAGTCCCCAGCTGAGACAAAAACACCTGATATAGAGCTTTCCTTGATTTCTAATAATCCACTAAGTAGTATTAGTTCATGACGAGATCCTCATTATAACAGAATGAATAAAGTTCAGAATAGCATACCACTTACGTCTGTAGAAGAGAAAGATCGACAGCCTGATGGATCAATAAAACGATCTATTTATAGAAAACCTATCTGGATAGGACAGTTTCTTAATCACCACAGCTTCTCTCCTGTTCGGTACAAGAGTGCCTCTTCAGTAGAATCCAATGAATATGCACAGAAGACACACTTGAAGATGAAAAAAGGAAACTTCGGTTGATAATAATTATCCAGAGAAGTTCATGAAGAGAAATAAAGTGGTCAGAACACCAAGACCCATTCCCCTACTCTCCGCTAAAAAAAGAGGTATATTTCAAGCTACCCTATATGGTTGAGCATAACAGCTTGGTAACCAAACAAAGATTCAACGTTGCAGCTAAGATCAGAATAATATAGAATGTGAAGCCCTAAGAACATACGAAAAATGGAGTCACATCTCACTGTATCTATCAGTTTACGTATGGCCACATATACATAGGGAAGACTCATCGATCCTTTCAAGTAAGGGTTTCAGAGAATTTACATAAATTTAACGTATTGCTAAATAGTGATAAACAATATCATTAATTATTTGCATTAATAATTAAGTTTTCTGTGTGAATTTTCTGTTATAAGGGATAAAAATAGTAATAATAATTACTGGTTCCAAATGAAGTTTATAGGATGAGGAAAAAGAAAAAGAAAAAAAACAGGAATGATTAACAAACACAGTAAAAATACGTATTAGTTAATTGAAATTAGTCACAATAGTAAATACCTAAACTAATATCAGTTGCAAGTGCATTTTACATATCCAGTTAAAATTATACAGTCAGTTCTCATTTGTCATTATTATCATTATTTTGTTATTATTTCATTCCTTTGCGTCCCGAGTGGAACATAGGGCTTCAGGCTAGAGCTTTGAAGTTTCAGTAGCAGTGGTTTTAATTTTTACTGGGTAGGGTTGCTAGACTGACGCTCAACCCTCCCCATTTACCGGCCTTACTAATAGCCTAGTGCGGTACAGGATTGCGTTGGTCGATAATCAAACCGCAAACCATGTGCGTAGTTGGCGAGCGTGCTACCGCTGTAATAAAAATAATTTATTCATTATTATAAAACTATTACTACAGTTCCTTCTCTCTCTTTCTCCCTGCCTCTCGATAAATATACATATTGTACGCGTAAAAACAATGCCTATCTTAATCATTGACCTTAAATGTAATTAAATACGCTAAACTGAATACCCTATGAAATAGAAATACTTCAGGTTAGATCACGAATTGAAATCACTAAGAGAGCTGCTAAAAACCAAAGAATGCTGGACAGCTTATTCATCGTAGCTTGGGACTCTTCGGCAATGTACACTCATGGCTGCATTGTGGGAGTCGAACTCAATATCTCGTAACTTGAAGATCCTAAGTTTCATCCATGAAAGGAGTAATCATGTGTACGTTTGAAGATTTGCAAACTAAGATGAAACAGCCGTCCAGTAGTAAGTAATTCATGGTTTCTAGTACTTTTTCACTGATGTCAGCCGGTTATTTAACTTAGAAATCAATTAAATATCTGCCAAGCAACATTTAAAAATAAAATATATGAAGATTATGCATTAAAAGGAATAAATCAATAAATGTTAAAGTTATCAAGATATCAGAAAGATAATGAAGTAAATACAAATAATAATAGTAATAAAATGAATAGTATTCATCACTTACATTTTGTGTACAACGCCAGAAGTAGTGATACACCAGCAGCAACCATTAGAACTATCAGAGTAACATCTTGTAAAGCCTCCCACATAAGTTGTAGAAAACTTTTCGGAGGTGTAGGCGGTATTACATTGGTCCCAAATACTTCACGACGTTTTGCAAGATCTTGACTTGATATGCCTTTAGAGAAGTAATAAAAATAAATAATACAAATGCTCATAAGCATAATTTAAGGTTGTCTGTATTGATGACAGAAAAGTCTTAGGTTTTATTAAACATTTTCATTTTAATATATTCTAGATAACAGTTGGAAGAAAAAAGAGGAGGAACTAAAAATTTCCCATTTCATATAAGCTCACTGATCATGATAATATTGATAACACTTTTATTTGTTTTATACTAAGTGATTACCCCAGTAAACAACAGATTTCAAGTATTGACATTATAATGTTGAGTGTCAGGTTGCCGCAGACTTTCATCACCAGCTGCTCCACACTGGTGATCAAACGACCTTCCAGAAAGTATAAGCAACAAGGAACTCTGATAGTGCAACAGATTAACTAGGAACATGTTGGCCAACAAATTTGTAAAAGGAAACGAAAATGGATAGTACATAGGAACTGCCGCACATATGTGCAAAGTTCTATGTCGAAAACAGACAGACAGACAAACAGAGGATAAGAAACGAAGAGTTGAACGTTCATGAGTGACACGGAGGAGATTGTATGAAGAGGAAATTAAAGCTTATAGATAATCCTAGGGTCAGCTAAAAAAGATTACACAGAAGAGAGTGAAATGGCGCTGTGCTGCTGAAACCCTGTGTTCCACTAGGTACTCAAGTAACAAATAAATAAATATTATAATAATTTGCTTTATTCCAGAAACAGTACTAGTGGTACAGTGTGGAATTTTCAGCACACAAATATAAAATTTTGTTTAGTTTTTTCGTTGATAAAACTACCTGAAACAATATTGGCTTGAAACAAATATACTGGAGTAACGGTTAATGACTGAAAGTTAACTAAAAAATTAATTCACACAAGAATTTTTATTAAACATCTCCAGATTACTACCCATTGGGTTGGAATCTGATGATGTATGAATCCGAACTCCTGTCAGTTCACTTTATGGTCATCGGACACGACTTATAACCTCAAGATCTTGAGTTCAGTTTCTGGTGTGGCTGTCGGTGAACATTAGTTAAGAGTACAAATTAGCAGGAAAGAACTGTTGACTGCTCCCTACCTCCAGCGGCTGATCATCTGATGTCAGTTCGTAACAAAATCTACACTGAAATAAATTTAGTACGAGCAACAAACAACTGAAATAGCGTAGATTTTGAATACGAATTAGTCAGTATTCTACGCCCAGTGAGATTTTGATGCCCGTTAATGTTTATTTGTAAGATAAATACATGAAACTTTTTGATGGTTATCTTATAACCGGTATCAGTTAGTACTTAAGTTAACAGCTTTCTGAGTAGCTTATTCAACCACCTGTTTATGTCAGACAGTAATCAGCCTAACTACATCTGAGCCCACAGAAATATTACCCAAAGCATATTTGGAGATATATACAATTTCAACATGTTATATGCCATAATGAGATGTTGAGCTGATATTATACCTATAAACAGTTTTCTTTAAGGTGAAATACACAAACACCTTTAAGTAATATACAACAAGTGAACCTGTAAATGAATTTTATTCTAAAATTAAATGTCAGGCATTAGGGGTTTTCTTTTAAGCAAAGATTAGTTATTCAGTAGGGTGACTGAACTTTTCTACACAATGAGATTAGTGTTGTGAAAGTATCCATGTAATAATAACACTGTGACTAGAAAAGCTGTAAAACATGAGGCCTACCATTCAATAATGAAAGTTTAGAATGGTGGCGGAATTAAATTCCATACCAGTTAGTACATTAGTTGAGAGTATTTCACTAAAAAGTAATATAGAACTAATAAACTGTTTTTTCTTTATTATAGCTTGATTCCACGCCGTATTATTGGTACAAGTATGGTTTCTTCAGCATGTGATATTGGTAGCCCAAATTTAGCAGGCCAACCAACTGATATCAGGTGTGCGTCGATTGCGGATCGAACCCCGGAATATGCGCATGATCGGCGAGATTCCTAAACACTGTGCCACCGACAAAGTTCGTAAATAGCTTATTCTACAACGGTACAATTGAACTACTCGTTAACTGCTGTAAAGTGACAACTACACTTTTTGGTTTAACTTAGCGAGGTGTATTCTTCCCTAATCTTTGATTGAATAACTAGCTAAACTTATTTTTATTATTTTCTACCATTTGTTCTCTCCCTATTCCTATCTGATGGATGTATACAGTCATAAGAGGCTAGTAATGTTCACAAAAGATAAAACTGATTTCGGATACCTCACACTCAACGAACACTTTACATTCACCTATAGAATGATGATTAGTCAACTAATTCTTCAATAATTCTTTTCATTATTCCATTGATATGAGTATAATGATTCAAAGTGAACTAAATTGAATGAGACATATTACTTTACAACGTCAGACTTCAATTCTTGAAGTATTAATATTTTTTGGCTTTCACTGAATACTTTCAAAAAGTCAAAGACATTTTGTTTTTAAAAGAGATATGAATAATTAAGTTTATTCAAAGATATTACTTATTTCTCAGTTTACATGCCTTATTACTTATACGAAATCATTATTAGACAGAATTTAATTTTTGAAAATTACTAAATAATAAGCTTATGTCTATACCAGGACAACATACCTAAGAACTTCTTTCTCGGTATTTCTTAATGTAATTGCTAATAACTAAAATATCTGTTTACATGGAATTGCTTTTATAAGACTGTTCTAAGCCCACCATCTTGGAATAATAGTGGATTTTTTTTCATTACATTATTCTAAAAATGTGAAAATATGCTTTGAAAGTCGCTTAATTTATTACGTCTATATTCTGAAATAAAAGTGCAGTGTTGTTCACATCATAATTTACCTTTCGTTATGCACAAATACAGCTACCTCGTTTTAATACCAGCCTAGATTCAGTCGTAGGTAAAGTATGCGAAAACAATTTTGAAAACATACTCGACGAAACACTCCCCAGTAAGAATGAGTAATGGCTTGCAAAAACTTCAACTGAAGAAGCAGTTTATAAACACGTCTGAAGACCTACGATGAGAGTGGTATATAGAAGCAGATATCTGACCGCCATCTGAGATGACATTTACTGCCTACATGTTTCGTGATATTGAAAAAATAACTATTAGAAACAACAAAATAAGAGTAAGAGTGATGAATCCAGTGCTAAAGATATCATTAAATCTGATCATGAAACGACCACTACCAAATACCAAAGCTCAGACAATATCAAACAGTTTCTATTTTCATCCTAAGCTACACCACTTCACTATAATTTCATGGTTTTCAAAAAAAACATAACCATCCATTCTTAATATTAAAACTATAGATAAGATAGAACAAAGTTATACACCTAAAGGCTCTTGTTAACAAAACTTCTGGTGGTTATTGAAGTAGCATTCAGTAACTGTTCATCGAATTCGAAGTCCACAGAAATCAATAACAAGAAAGAGTACATCTCCAGCTCATTTTATGCATAACTCCGAAAAATGGACGAACTATTCAGGTTACGCAGCTGAAAAATATAATAAAATTTGAAGCTACACGATGTTCTTCAAACTCTAAACTTCAGTCTTAGACACTTCGTCGTTAGACTTTGCAGTGTCATAACCAAAAACTACAAACCTTATCTATTATATTCTAGAAGTGACACTGTAGGGTGTTTGTGCTTCAGATCTGTAGATCGTCAACCTGTTAAAGGATAATGTTACTGTTGACAATTAAAGTATGATAGTCTTGAGTATGTTACTAGGAGGAATGCATTCATTTTGGTGGAATAACCACTGATTTACTGATTGATATTTTTTGACTTTCTTTATTGTAGCTTCATAGTCAGATATACATGTACAGTGCCCTTAGTTGACACACAGAAGTACCACTGTTATACTTTTTGATCATCAGAATACACTCACTTTTTGGCATATAATGTTTACCAATCTGAACAACAAACGATGGATGATAAAAACTGTGAGCTAAATATCCAAAAATCGTGAATAGAAAATGACTGTTGTTTAATAAACTAAACATTGTAACCTGAAGATAGACTCTGGATGATAAAATCTGTGTATTTAAATTCATCTAAACAGATTATAATAATAGTTAAGTTCCTTTACCCTTTGCAAATTAAGAAGAGATGTTGAAAGTCTGAAAACGTTTGCCTGTGCACATATGACCTCTTTGTTCTTCCTGGCTATTTAACATACGTGAAGTCACACCTGTCACGTCATGTAACTGTAAGTGCCAGATGAAATATACGCCAACAAAATTACATGGTTTCATTGTCTAAACCTAGATAACACTAATAAGCTTTTTTGCGAAATGTAGGTAGATACTTTTCTGGATACACGGATACGATATCCTGGTATACTACTAATTAAGTGAATCCAATAGATGTTTCCAGCATATCAGACGCCTGATTTTGACAAATTATGTTCTTAGACTGTGTGATAATACTCCAATACTCATCTCATTATGATGTACATTATGGTGTACGACCCAAATTTCAACCCAGTTCTAGGGCATAACATAAGTTTATCAGGATTTTTATAAGAATACTATCCAAAAGAAAACAAACCAATGGCTTTGAATCATCTTACAAGCGCTATCTCTTGGAAATCTTACTTAGTTAAACTTTTAACTTTGTTGCAATAGAAGGCCTTCTAAAGTGACCATATGACATCAAATGAAAATAGGATACGGTATTATGCGACTGTAAAGTTGCTTATAGAATGAGTGGTAAGGAAACCTTAGCCATCTTCTCAGTGTTTCACATTAATTTTGCTCTCGAAGTTGATAAAAGCTAAAGTTCGGGGGAATGTTAGAGAAGTTTTCAGACTAAATTAAAAGCATGATTTAAAAATATCAGTTTTAAAAACCTAAAACTGACACAAGCGATGTAATGGTGGACTGCTAGTGCACATGGCAGCGCCATAAACATTCGTCCATCATTCCTGTCCGACATTTTACTTCACATCGGTATTCGAAATGAGACATACGGTAGTCTGCAGCTTTAAGGTAGAAAGACTTTATTGCGAGTAAGTAAATATTTTCTGAAACTGATGTCGACTGAAAGTGTTTCTGTAGGAAGTCACTGACTTTAAAATACATCACCTTAAGTATTGCCGGTATCTAAAAGGTGTAAGAACGAGATGGCACTGTGACAGGACAAGAATACTCATATAAACTGACAGACTCGTCTTTTATATGGGGCCTACAAAAACTACTTCGGGTCATGTAATATCTCAGAAGACAAACTTATTATTCTACCAATTCAAAATGTACCTAAACCTAAAACAATTATTTGCGTTTGCATCTTTGGTATTGAGTGAATAGTTAGTCGTTCAAAACCCGCTGTGTTTTGCCCCTTCTCCGTAAATACATACATGAACATAAACCTGACTTCTGTTTTTAGGGATGATAGAAGCTGAAAGCTAAAAGTGACAATGGTTTGATAAAAAGGACTCATAAAAGTATTAGGAAACTTTTGAGGGAAAATGTTTATAAAACTCTAAAGTGACTCCTGTGAGCCATATTCCAATTTTAACCTGTCTACGTACCATCAGTTGGAGAAGTTCGAAGGCGCTTGCACAGTCCCGTTGCTCCACCATATCTTTTGTTCAAAATTTCAACTGCCTCCGCTCCACGGAGCTGCATGAGTCCTTGCAGTTCCCGCATAGAGCAACCAAATTCTGACGTTGAACTGTAAGCATTGTCCGTAGATGTACGTTCACGCATCTTGATTAATAAACTTATGTATTTGAAAAATAACAAATAAATAACTTTTCAAATGAAGGAATTTTGTTATGACGTATATTATTCCATATGCATGAGGAAGCAACTACGTTGGCATGTTTGAACTGAATTAAAAGCTTTAATGTTTAGTTCACAAATGATAATTTAAAGTATTAGTAGTCTCAATAAACTTTGCAATTCTGCCAGTGTATTAATAATGAAATTTCCCGCAGACTCCCCATTCGAAACAGCGGACGCAAGAGTTGATATAGTTTAACTGATTTAAACAAATTTCACTTATGTTTTAATTTTTGCAAAAACATAATGTAACTAACGCGATCACTAGTTCCTTCAAAAGCTTTGTGTATATCAAAGTCCTCATTCCTTCAAATAATTGTTATTTAATAAGTAAAGCCAGTTTATAAATTAATCAATCATTTCTTTCTCTGAAAGAAAATTCCCTTCAGGTGACGGACATTTGGGTGATAGTCTCATCTGTTCTCCCTCTTGAATTGGAGAGTGTCTACTGTCTAATCATGATGAATCATCTACAGCAAAGAATTTCATCAGTTAATTTCGTCTATGTATACGAAATAATCTCAAGTAATTGGATTATGAACTCCGACGAAACGGAAAGTTCAAGACACACAAAAAATACTAAAACATGACGTGACAGACAGTGTGAGGTTATGGCGTGACAAAACGTTTGCAGTGTGACTTGAAACGCCACATAAGAGAGGTTACAGTGTCCCAAACTGTCCGAATCAAGGTTTACAACTAGCAACTTTTCGTGAGCTGACTAAGAACCAAAAGTTAACTTGATGTTTGTTACTTAATTCACTGATGACCAAACATATTACTGACACATGACTATTTCAGTGATGAAGTAAGGATATCTCTAAATATTTTGACTTATGAATTTCTTCCGGATAGTTGGTTTGTAAGGATTAGATTTGTTTTTACTAGTTTTACTACGGATTGACATCAGTTAGAGAACCATTGAAAACCAGTGGGTGATGGACATCTGCTTCATCCTAGTTTAGGAATCATCGGCAGTACGCACCCACCGATTGCAGTTCGAACCTAGGATCTTCCGGTTACAAGGCAAGCTTGTATACCATTCAGCCACTGGGACCCGATTCCATGGCCCCTGAATTCTAACTTCCACCGACTAGTGATTTTGGTGTTACCACCAACTAATGTCATCGGTTGGACATCCATCGTCGCACACTCAACTGGATAGACCTCACTGGTCACGATGTCTCACTAGAATTCCAGGAAACTGCGTCCTGCAGAAAGTCACTAGTGAGCATCATAATAATTTTGAATAGTTTCGATAATAGTTTTCAATAATTCCTACATAAAACGTTTATTCACAAGAGATACATTCGTTTGACTTTGCCTTTCTGAGAGAATTCATTGCACATCTCACAGAGTTCCCAACTACATTCTTCAGTATGTCCTTTTCACGACCATATGTGGGCAATTCATGTCCGTCTGCTAAACCACTAAGCGGAAATCCAGTAGATAAACTTGGCATAATCCCCACAATCGTTCTTGTATGTTGTCTGAAACTTAGCCTGAATAAATACCCAGTTTCTGATGATATGCAAGCATCACTGCTAAAACTGTACACAGACACCATGTGAATCCCTGTTCCACCACTCTTTATTTTGAGAAGCTAACTAAGGAGTTGAAGGCAGATGTGGTGGGTGTCGGCAGAACCCATTCAGGTACAAACCAGTTGCACCACTTTCAGTAGTATCGAAGCTACTGGGAGCCTGGTCGATGATAAACTAAATAAGGCAACACCTTGACAGAAACGGAACACCCTATGAAGCACATGTCTTCAGAAGAGAGAAAAACGTATTACTTACATGGAAAGACTAGATATCTTGCTAGGGCGTGAATGTTCTAGTCTCCTCTATTTCCATCAATTTGCCAAGTCATTTGACCCTGTTCAGCACGATTTCCTGCCCCACAAATTCTGCCAGACATATCTTTTTGAACCGTTTCTCTCATGTTTGGAGGACAGCAAAGAATCCTCTGACAAAGTCAGTCGTCTTCAGTCTTGGTGCCACGGCTCGATCTCATAGATTCCACAAGGTCCTATCTTATGGCAGCCGGTATTTCTAATTTCCAGAAGTGATCTATGAAAGCTCCTGGACTGCTGGCCACTGATTTTATGCTGATGGCGTGGAGATTCAGAGGACAATGAGGACCCAGACAAGTTATCGACAGTAAAAATCTGGAAAGTGAGCACAAGTCACTATTACATCTTGCAACCAAAAAACAATGCAAATTAAGGCGGCTACTTACTCATATGCCTCAAAAAGTAAGTTATCATGTGGGAGATTACTGCCTGTCCAGCGCAACAGCAGAGCATGACCTAAGTATCGTGAAACCGGAAAAAAGGGATATAGGCGTGAACTAACCGAGGGACGTGACGAAAGTATCTGTGACCAACCACTTCACGTGCAGGTAGCTGGATTCATCCGATCCTGGGCTTTTTATAGAACTGCACAAAAAGTGTGTACGACAGCACCTTATGGCACATAGTCTCACTACTACAACGCCATACCTTTTGGAAAAGCATCAAAACGGGTCTTAGCCCATCAGAACAAGCCTAATGTTGAGATGTTGAACGAAACAGGTCATTCCACACTTACTCATCGTAGGCTTATATCTGACCTGGTCACTGCTTACAGGATCACAAGTAACTAAAATCACCCGAACAAAAAATATTCTGCTATTAGGTATATATGAAACTCTTTTAGGGATCAGGCATCAAAGATTCTAATACACTCCTATTTCTTTCCTCCTTCAGTTTGACGGCAGTGGAACTTTTTATTACAGTAAGCGGTGGCGCATGCTGATCAGTAGATATGGTGGTGGACACTAAGGTGAATCGCCCCATTCTGCAGGAACAGCAATATGCAATTTGATGGCTCGAGATTTCTATGAGGGCTTGAATCTTTATCTTGAAAAAGATAATAATGATCGCCTGGACAGATCATGCTTCTACCTTTAAACATATACCATTCGGTCAGCCTATTGCTGAGATGCGACCACGTGGGCTCTGCACAGATTTATGGGGCATCTTATAAATTAACATGCTTTCCTTTGTCGTATCTTCGAATATCACTTAACGATGTCTCATCTCATACATTTTCTAATAACGTCTTCACTTGCTCATTATATTCCACTAAACCTAACATTTTATAGCTCTTTATGAATTTGATTCGACTTATTTTATTCCTATTCTCTATAGGGTACGGTTGTGCACCAAACACAAAAAGGTATGAAATTAAAACAACCGGCTTGTGGATAATTGTATTAAACCAAAAGAGGACAACATGATAGTGAAACCTATAGGGTAGCATTATACATTGCAAAGGAACTTTGTCAGCCTAGGGATTATAGTCTCCCATTGTATTTCCTTTATGAATGCATCTATTAATGATACATTGCATTTACCTATTTCATTACACTTTAATGATTCACTTTAGCACCTTTACTTTTCTAAAACAGCTTACTATCCCTTGTAAACGTTGTACTTACCTCAATATTGGTTGGCTATCGTATGCCTACAACTACGGGTTGAAAACGAAACGAAGTCGATTTTCCTGCTCAACCTGGAGGACTATTGTTTAATTCAATAATGATACGACGTGGGTCAGACAATGAGTGTATTTAAATATAAATCAAATATTTAGCTGTTCAAACATTATTAACCTGTAGACAATCTACTATTTGTCATTATATCATACTTGATCGTGCCTGTAAAAATGCCATGTAAATTTATGTTTATATGAAAATATAAAATTATTATTATTACTGTACCATCAGTGGAAAGCTTTATGCGAAGTAGGGAAAATCGTGCAGCAACACAGGGTTTGTGATCAAGCGAACTTTTAGTTTGAAACTCACAAACCACAGCCTATTAATGGGTATCGTCTAAACTCGGGATTGGCCCTTGAGCAGTCAAATTTCTACCATTCCACCGATTACTCTGTATGTTCATCCACATAAATATTTCATTATGTTTAATTATTCAACTGCTGTGTACCCGCCTTTCTTTCCTGGGAAAATATTCTCAGTCAGATATAATATTATTTCGTTATTAGTCAGCGAGCAGGGGAGTGGAAGGGTAAACCATAGTCACAGAAGCGGGATGATCTCAACAAGCCACGCGCTGAAGACTGCACACAAGCTTAAGGTCTCCAAAACAAAGAACACCATGGCCACCCATGGGCAGACAGTGGTTAACGAATTCACAAGGACGTCACCCGTAATCACGCAAGAATTATAAACTCCTTGTGAATTGTAACGTTTTTCTGAAAGACGTTGAACGACAAATGCCCTTCGGTGTGCTTGACTAGTCTCCTTTGCTTCACTTCTCGATGAGCGCACTCGGAAAAGCAAGCGGAAGTTCACCGAAGATTACGAATAATTATTTGACAACCAAGAAACTAAGAGAAATTAATCCATCTCATTCGCACTAGATCATATTTAGTACACGTGATAATCAAGTTGGAAGCATTCAAAGAACATGGAGATAAACCGAATTCATGTTCAACCACCACAGCGCAGTAGTCGGGGAAAAGTCGGAGACGCTTTGTATCAACTCTTAGGAACACTGGAACTCCCTGAAACTGACGTTCAAGGAAACATGTATCGCGGAATTCTGAAGGGGAAAGTGGGAAGACAATGAATGGTTTTCCACATACACCTGCAAGATGCCAGAAGAGAGAAGGTTGGTGAAGTAGAAAGTTAACCAGTTCAGTGATCAATAATGAAAGTAGGAGCTTGGCTCAGTCTGCGTTCGTAAATACAGGCCTTTAAGACAAACTGGTGACTGAGTCAGAACAGGCCACAGGTAAGAGAGACCTCAAAACACAAAATCAGAAAAAACTAGAAACGAGAGATCTTGTGGGAAACGTAATTACGAAAGAGTTGAAACAGAAGGGATGCCAGGCCGACCAATTCAAAGACCACCCAATCAACCGCCACCTGTGACAGGCAGAAGTATCAAGTGTCATGAAGTTACTGAAAGCAGGGAAAGACGCAGGAAAATATGCTATCTGCCCATAAGCCCACTGCGGGTGGATCAGTAAAATTCAATGAACATGCTCAAGCCACTATTGCAGGAGGCTCAGAAGACACCTGAAAACTGTCAGAAAAGAGAAGAATGATCATTACAAGACCAGCAGGGATTGGAAGGCAGGACAAACCTCCATTAATCTGAGATGCGTGTCTTCCG